AGAACAGCATGTTCCTCACATCAAGGTGAAGGCAAAGACATGTCCTCTGGTACAGCACTCACAACCTCTCTTATTTCAGATATGGCCGTAGACTTTAGATTGGACACAGCAGCACTGGCTTAGTCCCAGAATGTGTTTTTTTGCTGAGGGAAGTGCAAGTCATCGTCAAGGGCAAAGACCAGTGGATGCAGAGTCTGCTTTGGAGTTAGGCCAGATGGCATGTGACAAAACTGAAAAGACACTGCAAAACATTAGGGATTTTCAGGGACATTAAACAAACATACCTTTAACATATATTAATATTTGTGCAACAGCAAACAGGAATAATAATAAAAAAGTGCAATAAAGAAGAATACAATCCAACCACATAGTTAAAAAACATAGTCTGAAAAAGAGAAATAATTAATAACATGTTGACAAAATTAAATCACCACTTTATCTTGACACATATTTGACATTTACTATAGATTGTTGTGCAAAATTTTAATTGAGAAGTTATTGTATGTATCATCATAATAATCATAATAAGAATCTCTCTGAAAGAAAAAATACATGCATGCACTTACAGTAGACTTGATTTTTAACATCATAACAAGCATTTAAGCCGATACATAACCAGTGTATTGCGACTCCATCTGTATATTCATGACAAGAATATAGTGAATAGAAAATTAACTTAAATGGTGGACTAAAGAATACATTTAAAGAACACAAGTGACTACACAGCAGTCTCATGGAGGATATTTTACCTGGGCAATAAAGCTTATAGTTGCAATAACAATGAGCTGCCACCAGATGGTGTTATAATACAGTGAACACAAGATCTAAGCGCAGCGCACTTTAAGGTTTCAAATAGCAACGATGTACTTGTAAATCTTAGCATGGTAGACTCATGAATCACCATCCACAGAAAACAGTTTAATCTACTCAAGAATGTAGAGCATGACATGCTGGCAATAAATATTACACTTTCATGTTGTACCATAAGTTGACTGACGAACCATGACTTCACTGTTGCAACTAAAAAATGTAGATGATCCATAATTCACTCCTGTGGCATTTGCACTACCGCCCAGTTTCTCTCATTTTCGCAGTCCTGTCACTGATAAAGTGTTGAATTGTTTAGTCATGGTCATGCAATGTCCTTGGGAATCTTCTCAGCAAGCTAAATATTCCCTAAAGCACTCAGGAGAAAATTGGGAGCACTGCCTTTATCTGTTTTGATTATAAAATATGTAACACCCTGCCCAAAGATATTAGGCTGCTGACACAGCATACGTTTTCAACAGCTAAAAAATTATCCCTTTGCTAAATTCTCTTGTTCTCAGGAGTGAGTGTGTTATTCTTTATTTCATTATGGTTTAGTGATTAAGGAGTACAGTACTGTTGTGATTATATTAAGATAAACTTAATTGACTAAATGTAATGTTCATTATATTGCTATGTAGTGACAGTCATTTTGGAATCCAACTAAATGTGCTTAAGTTTTTTTAATTGGTTACTTTTTAATCTGATTCAGTTACAAGTTTAAAACATATTTAACTAGTCTGACCTCTGACCGTCTGTGACATTATTCCCTTTGCTCTGCAGACAGCTCTTCTCATAGTCAAGTTATTGTGTTCATTTCACATTAACTTAAATACTGTTTTGCCAATCTTCCTCAGGTAACACAGAAAATGAAGATTTCTACAGCTTCATCATTTTCCATATTTAGCACACCACAATTTGGCTGAGGAGCTGGTGGAATCAGATCTGGACCAACACCAGTACTGTAATAATAGATCTCAGCTCCATCTGTGCCAGCTTCTCATTTCTATTGTTTAATATATATGACGTCAACACTGAAATGTTCTTCATCACTACTGTCAGCAGATTTATAGGGTCCTGCTGATATTTCTGAGCTAATGCATGCAACAAAGCCCTGGCCTGCATGCAAAGTAAAACCTAGCAGAGGTTCATTAACACTTATTTATTTCAGATTTATAGATTTAAGTTATCTATGTGCCACACAATTATTTGCAATATTACACCATATATACATATTATAACATTACAAAGCTGCAGATCTGTATGCAGTTCAGTGGCAGCACAACTCCTCAGCTTCACAGAGCTCAGCCGGGATCAAATCTTCACAGGAAAGCGCCAGTGTGCTGAAGAACAGACGGTTTGGGTGAAAAATGAACCTCACATAATGCATTACAATGCACTCCCGTGAGTATGAGCAAAGATTGTGGTAAACAAGTCATAAATTAAACGAACCTGTCAGCACTGCGTTGCCATTAGTGATTGGTAACGTTAGCTACCATACAGTAAGAACTACCTTGAAATAGCAAACACATCACTGTTACGAAGTGTTAGCTGAGATAGCTTAATTTTAGCTAGCCCAAGTTCGTGCCTCTCATGTTAGCCTTAAAATAATGAAGCTCAAAAATGTTAATTCTAACCACCTGAAAGCTAGTGACCATCCAGTAAGGATGAGGTCATCATAAGAGGATTTATCTTGAAAATTAGCTGTGGTGAATCGAGTTAGTCCAGCTAGCGAATAAGCAGAGCCGGGCAAGTGCCAGTTAGCTAATTAGCAACACAAGCAAATTGCTTGCTAGCTAATTAACGTTTCTGAGCTGCGTCAGTTTATGCCTAAAATGTAGCTTCAGTTTTGTCATGTATGAGAGGGACGCTATCATGCAATGATGTGGCTAAATACCACAACCACAAAAACAATGCAGTTCTAAAACATTAACTTGTAGCTGTAGCAGTTAGAATGTGGGTACATCTGCACCACACTCATCTAGCTACCTGTTTCATATTGTAGATGCAGGGAAAACTCTTGCGAAAAAAGGCACACCTAAAACGTTTTGAGGCTAATATCAATAGGATTAGATCTAAACAGCAAGTATACAAGTCATACAAACTTTTGCAAACGATAACAGACATGTAGCCTTATAAAAAAGTATCTAAAATTCTGCATTATGGATACAGTTTTTCATAATAACATCATTGGTTAGGCTGGAATAAGCAGCATTCAGATTTTTGTAAAAATGACAACTGAGTGGGCTAATTAGACGACAATTGAACCAACAACAGGGAGGCATGACCGCTCTCCTTGCAAAAGCTGAATTAATGTGGCAGCACAAAGACATCCATACACTAGACCGATGTCCCCATTGTGGTTCATTCATTTAAGTATCTAAGTGACTGGTCATCCAAAAGATTTGTGCCTGTAAAAGACCATTTGTGACACATTACTGAATAAACTGCCATGGAAGCATCAATCTTGTGCACAGAGACCCTTTGCCTATTTCATCTTGATAATGTGCACATGGTGTTTAATGTGCACATGCATCTCTTGAGTGTAATTTGAATGTGGAGTTTGGAATAACTAGTCTGGTTACGCTGATAGCTATTCCACAAGACCATTCAGCTCCTTAGACAAATCTAGACTGCTGTCAAGGCTATGGCATTATTTTGTGTATCACCTCCAGCTTAATAGTTCCATTAGCATCAGGCACAAGGCAATAATACAAAGCTGTCATTCAAATGACGGCACACTGAAAAATTTAACCCGCACAGAAACACACAATTGTAGAGGCACACAAACACTAGATGTTGGGGATGTTAGTTGGCAGAGAAAAAAATATCCCAAGAGACTGTCCACTTCTGAATATCCATGTATAGCCCAGTATTGGTTTTCATCTGGTGTTAATCTCTTTGCAGGTGGCATCTATGATTGTATTTATTTCTTGTTTTGTCACATGGTCTCTTTGTAGAAGGCCATGCTGCACATTACACTGCAACATTATTTAATTAATTAATTAGAATTACTATTTTAAAAGTTTTGCAGTAATTTTTCTTCTGAATATCAAAACATGGACCAATCACTGTCTGTCTTTTGCTTTAATTTTATTCTTTGTATTTTACTGTATACTGTTCATGCTGTTGTGCTACTGAATTGCTGCATGAAACATCCAATGCATGACCTCCTGATGTAATGGAAAGAGGGAAAGCAGTGGAATGAAGGGGTGGGGTGGGGGGGCATACAGTTTTTATGAAGCATGCATGTTTTTGATGTTTTTTCTCCCTGTCTGCTCGTGACACTAAAACATGAGGGAAGTAGGCTGGTGTAAGTGTTAATGTATAGCACCACGTTTCTGTGCCACCTGAGCATCAGCATTTGATACCCAAGGTATATCAAGAATCATACCGCAGAAGAACAAGCGCCCATATACTGTAGGGTGTATTAGATAAAAGGTTATGTCCATTTCTGTTTTACATGCTGCCATCTCTCTCACTACTGTTCTTTCTCTCCATCTGTTTCCAGGAGGGAGGTGGCATGGAAAAGCCATGGTCAGAGAGAGGGAAGACGTGAGAAAAAAATAATTTGAAGGCATTCCGCAGCTCTGGCGCCCTCATCTTTTGTGCCTCTTGCAAGACACAGCAAAGGCTAGTGTGAAAGAAAAGCCTTTAGCAGAGAAGAAAACTGTGGAGGAAGAAGCAGAGCAGCAGGAAGAGGAGAACATTTGACAGATAAAAAGAGGGAGCTCTGCAGCAGCATCCCCACTGTGCTGAACACAGGACTGCGTGACTGGTCTGTGCAAGCACAGGGAGAGAGGGAGGAGAGAGGAGAGAAGGGAGGAAGGTAGGAAAGAAAGAAGGGGGAGGGGAGGCAATTCAGCGCAGTGCAAGCTGACTGGATGAGTAGCAGCCGCGGCACAGGCAGCAGCATCAGCACCACTAGCTGTAGCATCTTTCTGTGTGGCTGCTGGAGGCTGTCTTGTGGCTGCTGTAGCATCAACATCAACCCCATACACACACAAATATCTGGACACAGACGTTCCCACTGCTTGCCTTACACACACACATGTCGTGGTGGCCACCAGAGAAGAGGTAGTAAGTGACGGGGCTTGGGGGACAGAGGAAACAGGGACGACTGGTGGTAGTGCAAACAAGAGGAGGGCTGGAGCGACAGTGACTGGAGCAGCAGCAGCAATAGCAGCGGCACCATGGCGCAAGCCGCCAAGCAGCTCCGAAAGACCAAGGACCTCGCTGAGGCCGCCGCCCAGGAGCAGAGGGAGAAGGAGGAGGAAAAGATAAAAAAGAGGAATCGATCAAGGGACCGCAGGCGCAAGGTATGGCTGGCTGTCTCATGAGACAGGGGAGGTGACGGTGTCTCTCACATCCGTCTTTCTCCCTCTACCTGCCTTTCTGTATCTCTCTAGCAGTCTCTCTCACTGCATCTATTGTGCATGATTGGTGAGGATGCAATTACACATGTATAATTACACAGTTGGTCTTGCAGCTTCAGCTGGTGCGTGCGTGTAGGCTAACCAGTCATGCACATATGCCATGGTACAGGTTGTGTTTGCTCGGTCAGTTATGTAGCTGTGGGGGAAGGAGAAGGAGGCTGATGATGATTGTTATGCCACTGGAGGTGTGACCAATATAGGCTGTTGGTTAAATAACAGAAGATGTCATTTTTTCTTTTCACATGAGAAATATTTGGAGGGGTTTCAGCCATACATGGGTGCAGCTCATTCATATTAATGCAATGCAAGTTCAGTGTACTGCATATGCATTTATTTTTATGCATCACATCACCATTAATATTCTCTGCATACTCTACTCCTTCCTACGAAACTATGTGGGTCTTAGAGATCGTGTCTTCCCCCATATCACTGATTTTTTTCATTGGGGGAGATGTAAAATGGAGGGGGAAGATGGAGGTACACTCCAATAAGAGATGCAATTTTAACCCATCTGTATATATTTTGGGTGGGCATGTTTGTGGAGAAATCTATGCTCATGATGATGTATTACTAAAAAGGTATATTGGAATGTGTTGTCACTAGCTAGGAATGCAGAATGTCATGCTGTAGGTATGAGAGCTCTCATTCACCCCTCCGTTTCACTCTTCCCCTGCACTCTCCTGCTCTTGCTGTGCCTTTAGGTGGAGATTTTATTGGGGTTGTGCTGCCTTGCACTCATGCTTGGCAGCACTGAAATGATTTATAAAAACTACACATTCTATTGTGAAAGGTAGGCAACTTGTTGAGCAGACACAAAAAACTTTTATGGATTTTATGCATAACTTACAACATTATGTGTACAGAGACTCTATTCAATGCAGTACCTGCTCTCAGTGGTTTTCTGTTCCTCCTGCACACGTCTATATGGAGTTGGTGGCAATAGAGGACAGGTCTTTTTATACTCTCTCTGTGAGATGTGTGTGTGTGTGCATGTGTGCGTGCCCGTGTGTGTGCGTGCGTGTGCGCATGCATGCACGTACATGTGAGACAGAGAGAATGAGGGTTTGTCAGAAAGACAAAACCACAAAGGAAAAGAGGCAGTACAAAAAATGGAATCTGCAGAAAGAGCTCAGGTGCTCATGGGGTGTGATCTCTTCCCTCGTTATTTAATGTTCTTTCAGCATAAAAAGGGTTGTGTGTCTGGAATGCAAAGCTGTAGGGTTTGCTAAGGGTTTCTGAGGCCATACAGGAGGCTTGTAACTATATGTTCAGCTCGTTTTGCTGATTTACTTTTACTTGATGGAACTGGAAACCTGTAGTGATGAAAATGTGGTGATGTAGTGAGGTTTTTTTTTCTACAGTAGCAGAGTATCAGAGTATCTGTATATTTTTAGAAAAATAGGCCACCTGTCATGTAATATCCTATTCTTTGCACTATTCTTTTTTTTTTTAATCTCTAAAATTTAATATTCTAGGTTAGTCATACTATTTATTTAAATGTCAATGTCAATGACATAAAACACTATTAATAAGTCCTTGACAGAGGGCTTTTCTGTCTTTTTATCCTTTTTAAGTATGTCTGTCTAATCCTAGCATTTAGACATTCAAGTTCAACATAACTGGAGTCCACCTGTGTAGAAAAATGTCCATCTTTATTAGCACTTTTGTTGCATTGTGTGGGGCTGTAGTCAACTGAAGAAAATCTTGTATCTGAAATCATACCTACTCTTCAACCAATTGATTGCTCATGGGGAAAAAAATATCTGCATGTTATGTCTAGATTAACTAAATTGGCCACAGTGCACGGAGTGCACTCTACCCGGTAGCCCTATTAGCCTATTCTACATCAGATAGGTCAGCTAGGCCTGTTATTTCTCACCAACATGCTAATCTGTACTTCTGCTTTGTCACATAAAATCATATTTTTTGTTTTCAGATTAGTTTGATCCAGGTAGGGTCTTTTCTCTTAACATCATTTGAAACATGCTACTAACGAAATGGCACGTAATATGAATCACTAAACTTGAAGTTATTAAATGAAACGGCTGTGTGGAAATGTCAGTTGTTATCACTGATGAAAAAGTGAAGAATTAGGTTCCTGAGCCCACAGTCACTGCAAGCACAGAAAACCAAGAATGCTTTTTTGCCCCAGACACTGTAGTGCATTTGAGATGTAAAAAAGGCATCTTGAGTGCTTACTCATGTTATTGCACTTAGCTAACCATCCACTGATCTTTTTGCTGCTAACACTGACTACTTATTTATTTTACTTCTGAATTACCGATCAAGTCATTTTATTTAAGATTCCATACATAGTAATTCGATGCAATACCACTCAATTTCAACTGGCCTTGTAAATTCTTTTGTCTTCACTGTACTGTAAGAAATAAGCACAAGCATTGTCAGTTGATCAAAAAATAAGTATTTAACAGCTCCTCGTATGTGCTCTGCACCCAGAAGGAGTGAGGAAGCAAGGCAAAGAGACAGAGAGGGAAAGAGGAGGCACAGGCAGGTCTTAATGTTCTGGGGATGTTAATTAGCTCCATTCGATGTAAATCAAACTTGGCAGCATGGCATCTCTCTTTCCTACTCCTCCCATTGCACAAAGGTCATCCACTACAGTGCCAACAGAGATCCTACGATAACTCTGGATAGACTGGACAGTAATGTAGTTAGGGAAGAAAGTGCAGGGGCATTCTGCTAGCTCTGCTAGCTAAGGTGCATGTCATACAGCTGCAGAGTCTTGCAATAGGTTTGGAATAAATCCATGACCTCTGTCAGCTACTTGGAAAAAACACACATAATCTTAGGATAAGAACAAGAGCAGCAATATCAATGATGCAAACTGAATAATTATATAATTATATACTTTCATATGCTAAATGCTAGTCAGACCAGATTGGAAATGGGATTATTGGAAGAAGATAACAGCAAATGTGTGTGTGCAAATTCATTGTGAATCAACATTATTATTTTCTTCTCAGTCCATAGAATATCTGTATTTGTTGCTTATCCCAGGTGAATAAAATCAAAAGGCTGTTTGAAATACAGCTAAATCCAATGCATTATGTCAATAAACTGGAGTTAATTGCTTAGCTGCATTGACAGTAAGTATTCTTACCCCACTGGCTGTAACCCTACCACTATGGATCACTGGATCACTATCTGGCTATACTGTGGTCCTTATGTCTAGCATCATTGATCCCTGCTGTATGTTTACTAGTCACTAGTCACAATAGATCTGTGTCTGTATTTGATGTATGCAGCTATGAATTAGGGATGTCCCCATCAAGTTTTTTGGCCCTAGTCACAATCCAAGCCCTTTATCATTGTGTATCTGCCAATACTGGGTCTGATCCCTTCCTTAAATTGACCTAAATGTTGACTGAAATATTTATCTGACAAGTTGAGGTGCTGAACTACTAAATTTGGCACACCTTAGTTTTCACGGGCCACTTGATCCTAACTCTGAAGGTCTGTAGAGAAGGAGAGAGGTTGTCAAAACAAAGTGCTGTATAGTAAAGAAAGCAGTGGATTTTGATCTGTTTTATTGTAACAGATACTGATCCACTGAAATACTCTATGCCTCTGTACTGATCCTTAGGATTGGCTCAGGACATGTCTACTATGAATACAACATCAATTATTAAAGTATAAAATTTACAAACACCTGTGCAGATTTTGGTCTCACAATAACAACCATGCAATTTAAAAAATCTTAATACCCCACTGAATAAGTTGGAAACAAACATTTTCCTGGACCACAGTCAGCTGGGCTGATGATTCATATCAATAATCAGTTCTTTATTTTGGGTAAATAATTACATGACTGCCAAAATAAGAATAAACACTAAGAATGGAATAATATGAGAAAGTACAAGAAAATGTTGGGTTATCTTCAAATTGCACTCGTGATTGTTGGGGTTCATTTTCAGACCAGTCCGGGACAAGAAACCTTTTATTGTAGGAGCTCAGCATGAGGCTCTTGGGCCCATACATTTCCTTGTTTCCTTCAGGCCTGCACTTAATACAATGGATCCAACGATCTGCTAATGGATACTGTGTGCTCTTTGTGTATATGTGTGCATGTTTGCGTGCGTTTTCAAAGGAGCTGTATGTGTGCATGCGTGCACATAAAGTGTTTGTGCGTGTGTGTGTGTGTGTGTGTGTGTGTGTGTGTGTGTGAGTGTGCGTGAAATAGCAGGGCTTCAGGGTATCTCATTCCACTTTTATGTAACCTTATGGATACCCAACCCTAATTAGCCAAACTCTCCTCTGTGTGTCTCTCCATCTTTCTTTGCCTCTCTGCCCACTTCTGTCCTTACACAAAACAACACACAGGATAATGACATCAGAAGAACTTTTCAGTGATGCCTAACCTTGCTAATTAAAAGTTGTATCATCTGCATAAATAAAGAATCCCAAATATTTTTTAGACAAGCGGAAAATTAATCCTTGTTGGGCTAATTTATATTCCAGAGCTTTGGGTGCAAATTAATAGATCATTTAGGTAATTCATGTCATTGCAGTGCACAGCGGAAAGACTCTCATCCAATCTTGAGAAAAACAGCCTAATCATACACTGCATCACATAGTTCTGCCTGAACCATTACTCCTCTCACTGCTGTGAACCGCACCAACATTTTGAATGGAATTTATTTGCCTTAGGTCAGACCATTTAAAATACAAGAAGCCCACAGGATAACACAAGAAAGCATTGAATATTTTCCTCCTCAGTCATCTTCATATTTCTGTATGACACCTTTTTAGGGTAACAGGGCAGCACTGATTAAAGACTTTTATCACTTTATACTCAGCTGCCATCTATGACAGTTTCTTTTCTCTGTAAACTCAGTGTCAAACCATTGCAGATGCACACAAAG